TTGAGATAGACTCCCGCGATAATTACTCCAGGGTGCTCGCCCAAGTGATTCATTAACTTTTAGCTGAAAATACGTTTTTCTAAATAACTCGGACGCTTCTGCAGATTAAGTAGCTATTCTAAAGATCTATTTCCTTTGGCAGAGGGAAAATTATAGATACCACATTAATGATTCATGTAAGAGTGTATGAAATAAATTAACTCTTCATGTAATTCAAGTTGAATTATAGCTCCTGTTAAGTGGACAAGTCGAAACGACATAACGAAACGACGAAACGACATAACGAAACGACGAAACGACATAACGAAACGACGAAACGCCATGACGAAATGACGAAACGACAAAACGACGAACCGATGTGGTCGATGACGAGTCGGACTCGTAAAACGACGAGTCGAAGAGGCCAGCCGACGAATCGAACTGACAACACGACGAAACGAACTGAAAGTTCGACGAGTCGAACTCGGAAAACAACGACTCGACATAACGAAACGACGAAACGCCATAACGAAACGACGAATCGAACATTTTGTCCAGGATCTACCTTCATAAACACTCGACTCCAGATCGAATTGGAATTTGGAATGTTGGTTTTTGCGGAGGGAGGAAAACCGAAAAACCCACGGAGCAAGGACGACAACCAAGAACGAACTCTACCCACATGTGACGTCAGGGTCCATGAGGGGAACCCGCGCCACAGTGGTGGGAGGCGAACGCTCTCACCACTGCGCCATCCCCTACACCCCTAATACACGCCGCAAACTCTCCGTCCCTTATTATTGTTGGACTCACCCTCATTTCCTGCCAATCCGCCAGTTGTTTGTACAGCAAGTTTCTAGTGAGTGTGTTTCCTGTGACTTGTGACAGTAAAAGCGACAGACGATAGTCCCTATGTTGCTGTGCCACATGGCAGGCACGGCTGATCTGTTTTCCGGTCAAACAGCTGAAGATGGATTTCAAGTGATCACTTTCCTGAAAAGAATAAAGGCGAGATAAATGAGGTTTAGACATAGTAAGGTAGGTCCACGGTGAGAAAGCTTTACATGGTGAGAAAGCTTTGCATGGTGAGAAAGCTTTGCACGTTAAGAATACCTGGAAACTCGTGTCATCCACCTCCTGGGAAATTCTAGTTTTAGCAGCCTCAGCTAACCAGTTTGAGAGAGCTTGTTTCCTCGCTACACGGTTCTGATATGTTTCTCTGTCTTCTTCAGCTCCGATATCGCCTAAGAATATAATCACGTTGAAATTATAAACTTGCAGTATAAGTCACACATTTCAACCAACCTCAGTAAAAAGAAAGTGAGATGATGGCAATCAAAATTCTTGATATTCATAAAATAATTCTTTGTAAATTTTTGGTGACTTACTTTCATCATCATCGTCGTCGTCTTCCGTAAGTTTTCCCCAAAGAGCAACAACCAGGTCCCAGACTAAACAAATCTGTTCAGCTGCGTCTCTTAGGGGCCCTGGGTCTGAAATGAGCACAAAAAAATTAGCCCAAGAAATAGTTAAGCTGCACTGTCGATAACGAGTTGTGTAACCGCATAAGATAATGCCAAACGGCGATAACTGAACTTTGGCTATCTTTAGTTCTACTGTTTGACCGATGAAGTGAAAAACTTTGCATTTAAATTGGGAAAAAGAAATGATTCCATTTTGATTTTCTGTTGGATATTTTAAAGGATTAGAAAAAGGCAAAGTGTACTCAATGGTAAGTAAGCTCTGCCGCTCGTCTTTGCAACTAACGTTGGTCTAAACCTACGTAATACCTCAATAACAACGCGACTTCAGGGTTTTATGGGATGTAAACACGGGGACAGTGAGGATAAAATCCTCGCAAATGAGCTGCAATTTAAGCGATTGACAAAAGAAAAAAGTTCAGGCTTTGACAGGCTACTGTCAACTAAGTTACGAAGCCACTCGTGAGAGCGAGGCAAATTGTAGTGATTCTTCACAAGACTTTTTCATAAATAGAACCGGGCGCCCTTCCTATTAAGCCCTTACGCCAAATTTCAGACTGAGAAATGGATCGTATCTCCGTGTTGATCATGCAAACGCTGCAAAAATTTCACATAGAAAACCAAACCATAGATCCCTCATTCGTTACCTGTAGCTTCCTTGTTCCTTCGGGCGACTTCTGCGTGATGGTGCAAAGCTTTGACGCCAGAGGGGGGTCGAAACAGCGGACAGTCGTCTTCACTGGAAACCACAGCGTGTTTTAACTCTGCTTCAAGTACAGCTTGATGCTGTGCCTTGATTGGGAAGAGAGAACACTTTTTTAATTCCGTGTAGTTTGATAGAAAGATAGATAGATAGATAGATAGATAGATAGATAGATAGATAGATAGATAGATAGATAGATAGTTTATTTGTAAAAAGCTTGCAGCCACTGAGCTGAATTGTGTATTTACAATAAAGTATAAAATATAACTTATAATAGTAATGTGATAGTAATAAAGTCCTAAATAAATAATATCCTATAAATATGATGAAAGCTTGAACTGTTAAAATATATACAACGGCATCGATCTCATTTACAAAACTCATCGAGCAGTAAAATTCGTTGTTAATAAAATTCGTTTGCTAATTGAAGCGACGATTGTTAACGTTTGCCGCGATACTGTTGCCTTAAATACTTTAGTATTGTAAGTCAGTTGTTAATGGGAAGTTTCTATTCATCGATAAAGTTAGGTTTTCTTTTCAGTTTGTTGTTTGTGCTCAGTTCACGGTTGACAAATAACTCTCCACTTGACTCTAATGTCAACTTATACTAAGTTGTTGTATATTACACACTATGACCACCAACAGTCTTTTTCATTACGACCCTCACCCGGCCCTGGTTCAAACCATCCACTGCACTCATCAATAATAAACACAGCTTTATAATCACGAACCTCGGATACGCCATTCTCTACAGAAAATACGCATGCTTAGTCAACGTGCCACTGGTGGAGAGGAATGTAAACAAACAGATTGAATGATGTACCCACCAACACAACATCACTTGGGCCGCGACTGTCCTGCAGAGCTACGTTCAGTTTCTCTATCGTTACTCCGAATGGCGGCGATCCTTCACTGCTACTGGGCCTTGGCTTCATGGAGAAAAAATCTCCTGCCAGCGAGGGTTGGGTGGCAGCAGCTGGTTTTCCTTCTTGTTTCCCCAAGGGAGTACCGCTATGGACCAAGACAAACCCAGGCCCCCAGCCAACACGAAAGGAGCGGCCCATCATCAAACCAGCATCGGCAATTAGGTTCTCTTTGCCGTCGACCAGGGAATCCTTTTTAGGCACAAGACCAAATTGATTCCGAGCGCCGACTACTTTAATTCCGATGTCCATCGCTGTGCTGATGGCCCTTGGAAGCTGAGTTGGCGAAGAGGGGGCTACTGGGGTGACATCGTGCACCACGGGGTACCGAAGAGGATAGACCCCTACAGAATAGATCAACAATAACAAACTGAGAATTCTAACCTGTTTATAGGCTGTGAAATACATCGTTTCGTAAAAAAAAGACAAAAGTTAGGTTAATCTTTGGTTTAAGTGTAAAGCTGGCTGTTGTCATTACTTTGGTTGGTTTTTGTTTTACGGCACTCAATCAAAAAATCAGCCTTACTCTTCTGATCGTTCGAAATGTGCTCAGGGAAATCGATTACAGCTGTAATTACATGGAGTCTGCAAAAACTTCGTTTTTGCGCGGGGAATGGAACTGCCTTTTAGCGCTTTTACAACGCAGCTATCAAGACGGAAATTCTTCTAATTGACAACCACCAAAAACCTCTTGGTGGAGAGAATGCAATTTGATGACACATTTTAGAATACCTATCTGGGGGCTACCAAACAGTGACCGGGACATTTGTCCGGACTCATCCAAAGAGCGTTGTACGTTTGGAGACAGCAAAGGACCCCGTGGCATAGATGATGGATATACAGAACTCTTCAAGTGGCCACCTTTGGCTAAAGATGAACTGAAGAGCGATTTGTCCACAGTGGGACTGTCTTTGGCGAAAGGTGTTACGAGTTGAGACTGATCGGCAAAGAATGATGCTTTCATGACTTGGATCCTCTGTGCATTCATTCCAAGGGCCGTTGCCAACTGGTGGCTAGCAGGGGAGCTGTCAACCTCTTCTACTTCACCATCGCTACTATCTCCACTTTGATCTTCGAGCATTTCCTCTGGAAAAAAAAAAAAAAAAAAAAAACCTTGATTAATTTTTTTTTCAGACGGGTACAACTGCAACTTCCCGGGGTTCTGTGAAGGGGGTCAGAATTCCCCTACGATTTTCACACATTGACATTTGAATTTGAACAAGAGTCACCTTTATTGCTTAACCACAACAGTTGCGTCATCGTGACAGTAGCTTGTTCATGCCTCTTGCGTGTTCGTGACAATAGCTTGCTCGTGACATTTGTGTGTTTGTGACAATTGCGTGTCAGGGAAAGTTGCGCGTTTTGTTATAGATGCGTGTTCGTGAAAATTTTAAGCAACATACCGGGAAACGTTTCGTGATCGATGTCAGCCATGACACTGTCCTGGTCTCGTAAGGAGGGAGTAACTCGCTGCTTTTCCTTCTCATAAGCTTCAAACTGTTGTTTCTTTTCTTGCAGATGTCTGAGGATTTCCTTTTTTTCCTTTTCAATAGAGTTCTCGACATCCTTTGGCAGAAAATACACCATAATCAAACTTCTGTACGGTTATGGAAAGTAAAACAGTGAAGGCTTCAGCCTGCACGCAAGACTGACTAACAAAGTTGTACAAAGTTAAAGGGGTATAATGATCACTCTGGGTGATGATGGGTGATTACCGAGGATAAGACGCCACTGATCAGTTAGTCTCATCTTTTTCAATGCATTGGGTTTCAGATCGCTCTAACGCTCAGCCAGTTTCGAGCTAGACTGCAGTCGTAGTGCGTTGCCCGAGCACACAACACAATGACCGGACAAGACCAGATTTCGAACCTGGACCGTCAGAACAAGGAGACCAAGCGCTAGTAACTTGGCCCCCATGTCTTTGCACGGTGAAGAAGTACCAAGAGTTCAGTTATAAAACTCTACCTGTAAGTATGGTTTTAATGGAGGCCTCCTAAGTTTCTTCTGGGCCTGTTCATCACCATCATCAAGGAATTGGTCCATTCCATATCGCGTAAAATGATCCACCTTTGAAAAGAAGAACAGTTTGGTAAAAATACGATAAGTAAGAGGTCCACTGTAAGTTAGAGAAAATTTCAATTGAGTGTCGTAAGTCATCCGGTATTGCTTTGTTTTTGCTTTACTTCGTTATGTGATTGGTCCCGAACGTCGCGCCACTTCCTCAACCAATCAGATTCACCGTTACACCAATCACGACTTGGTCATTGGCGTTTTACCGCGTTTTAGGCAGTTTGGTCGGTTTTACTTTGAGTTCTCACTGGCATCTTAAAAGTATTTTCTTATTTTCTGATTAGCAGTTGAGATTTCTTTGATTTTACGACACTCAGTCGAAATGTGCTCTGACCTAGAAATTTCGCTTTGCAAACTCAGCAACTGTGCGCTTTTGATAAAACCTTACCGTAAACACCCAGCATCCAGTATCAAGGCTGTAATCAAGAAAAGTAGCTCCAAGTTTTTCGGTAGCAGTTTCCACCCGCTTTTGCCAGCCGAGAAGGTTGAGTCTTTCCGGACTCTGTGGGGATAAAATGCAAAATGTACTTTGTAACCGAAAAGCAGTCTAAAAAATTCTGAACCTCAAGAGCTGAAGCTATTTCTGCACGTAGTAATTACATAGCGTTCAAATACGTTTCGAAATTTTAATTTTTCTCTCTTAACTCACTGTAATTGGCCTATGAGAAGTCTTGTCATTTGGCCAGACTTTCTCCAGAGTGATTTCTGCTTTCTTGTTGAGTTCTTCACCAACAGGAGGTTTATTAGGGTACGAATCAGGATAAACTTCTATTTCTCGGCGCCTGAAGAAGACTATTAAAGAACAACAACATAAAAAATCTTTATATTAAGATAAAAGCTCTCCTTACCGCATAACCACACTATAAAAGAAACAGAAGTTGTAGGCTTCAGAAAAATATCTTAATCCCGAAAAATTTTAATCTCAAATTCTTTTGAACAACATAAATGCGAGTACACATTTATGGCAGCAAGAACAAGGACTTACAAATCATATTCTTTTGGAATGACTAGTTCACAGGTTTACAGGCACAGTTAAAATAACACAAAATGTATATTTTTAATCTTAACAAACCAAGTAAACTTGACTTAATATGAACACATACCAATTTCATCCAGGTTAAGCCCGGCGACGTTTGTTCTGCCATAAAATTTGACTTTTCCATAACCTTCGCGGCCAACTACAAAGTCATCCACAAATATATCTCCGTTACTGTCCATCTGTTGGTTAAGTTCTTGTACTGGAGGAATGGCGTAATACTCAGACCTGATAGAAGGAAGAAAATGAGAAATACATGTATCTTAATATTATTTTAAAGCAGTTACCAACTGAGTGTCGAAAGTCATCCGGGGTAGCAATAATTTTGCTTTAATTCGCTCTGTGATTGGTCCAGAGAACTTGCGCCACTTTCTCAACCAATTAGATACAAAACTAAAACCCCTTACAACTTGGTCGCCCGCGTTTTCCCGCGCTAACGGCAGTTTGGTTGTTCTCATTGGCTCCTAAAGGTATTTTCCTTTCTTCTGATTGGCCTTTGTGATTACCTTAGTTCTGGATTGACGACACCTTACTTTGAAATCTACGCGACTAGTCCCGTTCTTCTATAAACATTTCATTCCGTGTTTTGGTTAAATAGGGCTCTTACATTTCTAACATTTCTTCTGACTGTATATTCTATGCAGTCTTTTCACTGAAATGCATGGACACTTTTGGGGACATCTGAGCAACTCTCGAACAAAGTCGATTTTAATCTGTGTTTCCTTAGTAAAATCGTCGTGCTAACTTGTATAAACACATGGTTTGATGATACTCGTGATCACAGCATATCGAACAGACCAAACGTCACTTTGGTACACGTTACACACGGCACAGTGCTCTTACACTAAATTACAAAAACACTTTTGAAACAGCGGCTACACGAAATTGTGAGAAATTGTGTACTATTGCAAATACTGACAGGGAATCTCACCTGTCTAGGACGACACCAAAATTATCTTTAGATGCAGTGTCCGATGAAGTCTCCTCACCAATCACAGAATCTTTAACGCTTCCGTCTTCTTCGTCCCTTCCCGGTGGACGACGTACATTCAATTCTGCGATGGTGGTATCAACAGAATCTGGAACATGAGAGAACCGTACTCCCATCGGACTGACACCATCACTAGTATTCACCCTGCCATCAGAAGCCCTCTCACTACTGTAAAGCCCAGCAGGGGTCGCAGACATCCTCATGGGTGACACATCTTGTGACGGGGGTGGGGAGGGAGGGAAGGGTGAGCTGGTTGCTGGCAAACTGTCATCGCCCTCCAAAGTGCTGAGTTTGACCCTGGTAGTGTCGACCACAGATAAGGGGGAATCCTGAAGAAGGATATGAAAGAGTTAATGAACATAATTGAAAGTACCCAAGGAAGAACAGTTGAGACCCCATCACAAAAGGTTATACAAGTCCTTGTGACAAGTCTCAGCCACAGATAACTATTTGTGTGATCTTTCTTAACCATTTAGCTACCAGCCATTAGATTGCTGCAATCGATCAAAGCACAATCCTGTCACAACTTTTTAATGCAAATAGTTTGCAGCATTATTTTCATGCAAAGAAACAAAATGGTGGTTTTCATTATGGCCTGAGTCTCACAAGTCAAGTAAATCACAATTTTCAAATAAACAAGTAAGGTTAATCCTACTGTTTTTAAATCTTTATTTCAGTTAAAGCTGCATCTTTAACAAGAAGAAAAGAATCCAGTGAAAGTCTATCGATGGACAGTTTTGAGGCAGTTCAAGTAACTCTTACAGAGAAGTCATACCAAGTCTAGCTGGCCATGCCAGAAGTCATACCAAGTCTAACTGGCCATGCCAGAAGTAAGTCATTACCATTAACATCTCAAACTTGTTTTAATTATCATCGCCTGAATTTAAATTACATGCAAAGTCATACTTTATACATAATTCAAATACACCTGTATTTTGGAAACTCAGAGATTGTGTGATGTTTATCGTTCTTTACTTACTTCTTTGTTTGACTTGGTTTTGAGAACAAGCTTTTTAATATTCTTCCTTGGTACAAATGTGTCAGGACTTAGCCCAGAATCTTCCTCCAGACCCTCGAACAGTTTGGACTGTGAGTAAAATGATACATGTACAACAAAACCAATTAAAAATAGTAGGTCAGAAAAATCAGACAAAATGATTCAAACCAATTGATAATACTACATGTACAGGGCTGGACACTAACTTTTCAACTTACTAGCCAAGGGGCTAGTGACAACTTAGATGTTACAACAATTTCAGTTTGTTTACTAGCCAAACTGGCTGGTGGAAATTGAAAACCACAACCCAAAACTGAATTTCTTTGAGTCTGTCACTAATTGGCTACTGTTAGAGTTGAGCCTTGATGTAACTGACCTTGTTCATGGTATAATTATTTATTGGCCTGGGTTTTATTCTTGCAGCTGGTCGAGGAGAAACCTGAAAGAGAATAATTGATTTCACAAAATATTACTTCTACATAATTGTATCTCATTTTTATGATTCAATTTTCAATCCATGGTTAGAAATCTTCATTTGCTTCCTTATCTCAGTGAATGGTTCAATCTGCCTTCCTCCAATAATAACAGAATGTTCTTCTTGTGGAATAAGGTCCATAGTTGTTTGATCTAAATTGTGTTGTAAATCTGTACCAGTACATCACATGTATACATTCAGCATGACCTAAGGGACATACTAGCACTAGTAGAAAGCACATTCAGAGTCTCCACTTTGGTTCAACAAAACAGGAATGAGATCCAACATCTTTTTTTTTTTTTTGGGGGGGGGGGGCATTAGCACTTTTTTCATTATGTTATTGTAAATAAAATATTCTTAATTTTTTATTAAATCATAATATATTAATACACTAGTATGGAAAGTGTCCAACCCCAGTTCATGAGTCATTTTAATGTAACATTTTGTGATAACTGCAAGTTATTTGCAGTTTGGAACTAACAGTAAATTAAATTTACAATGTAATACTGTACCTTGTAGTGTGAAGGTGTGGTAGAAACCTTTTGCAATGAGGATGTAGTAGAAGTAGATGCCCTTTCTGGCCTGGATTTCTCCTAAAGAGCAATATAAAACTTATTATGATGCCAAGGAACAGCAGAGCTGGGGGGAGGAGTGGAAGAGTTGTTACATCCCCCCCTCCTACATGCAAAAACAAAATGAATATCCTTAGTACCCCTGTGTGTAGACATCCACACAATCCATTAGAAGTTTAAAGGCTGATAGTTTCTAAAGAAACTGTTTGGGGCTGCGTTGGTGGGGGTAATGGAATAATTTCAATATATCAACAAAGTTGAAATGGTAAATTGGCCGCTGTTATGATTAAAAAAGCTGATGTTTCGAGCATTAGCCCTTCGTCAGAGTGAATCTTTCGCTCCAACGAAGGGCTAATGCTCGAAACGTCAGCTTTTATAATCGTAACGTCGGCCAATTTACCATTTCAACTTTGTTGATATATTGAAATTATTTCATTAGAAGTTTACCTTAGTTTTCAGTTCTCCTCCCTCCCCAGCCCCATATCCAAATTGAAACTTTATGTTGTTAACTCTTATTGGTTTAGTTGGTAGATTAAAAGAGATTGCTTGAATGAAACATAATTTAAAGAAGATGGAGAGCCTTTTCAGGGCCAAATTCTCAAAAGGAGAAGAAAATTTTATATAATTTTATATCTCCAGGGCAGAAGCCCTTAGCAATGATTTTTCTTCACACACAGTAAGGTAAAAAATTAATAAATAAATAAATAAATAAATATATAAATGAAGAACTTGCAGAATAAGACATCACGTCTCAGAATAAGACCTGATGTCTTATTCTGCAAGTAGTTCAAGTTATTCAAATGCATTCCTAGCCTCGGCAACTGCTATTTCTTTAAGAGATAAATGAAGGTGTGGAAAATACATTTGATCCTCTGAATATTTACCAGCAGTGAATTTCGGAATAATGGTGAATCACCAAACGGTGAGTTTGACAAGATCAATAGTTGATGCTCCAGGAGCTTCTGCTGCTGTTGTTGCTGTAGAGTGGTCAGTGCTATAGTTGGGTTGCTAGTACACAGAAAACAGTCAAATAAAATGCACTGCAGATCATTCAATTTGAATAGGATATTCTTTCAGTAGTTAAAATGCAAAAGCAGACACCAATAAAGGCCCCTTGGAAGGTAACAATTAAATTTTATCAGAAGTAAACAGCACAGTTTACTTGATTGCACCTAACATTGATGACTGAAACAGCTGAAAAATCATTGCAGTTACTGGTAAAATATACTGGCTGGTGGTTCATTTATTTGTTGTGGTTAAGTTTCTGTTCAGTTAATAAAAAAAATGTATACAAGACAAAGAAAAATTGAAAATAGGCTGGTGTTCAGAATTCAAAACCAACAAAAAATTGAACCAACAAACATCACATTGCAAGTGGTCAGTTTTTCATGTATGTTGCCTCCAACTTTATAGGTTCATGTCCTTGAAGATCAAGCAACAAGACAGATCTCACAGCAAACTACAAATATTTCAGACTGCATTTATAGCTGGGAACCATTTGAAGATTCTTACCCTCCTAAAGCATTTCCTCCAAACAAACTTGTTTGTTGGGAAGCTAAAGTACCAAAAGTGCCTAAAAGAAAGTGAAACATGTAACTAAAAAAAAAAGGGAGTCCCTCTGTATATTCTTTAATTAGCGTGCATTTTACATTAATGCAAATAATAAAATGCAAATAATAAGCAAGTTTACATTTCATTTTAGCAACAGACCACATAAATTTACTATTGGTTTAGCACCATAATAATCAAGCAAGAATGTGGAGAGAGAGTAAAAGGTTTCTCATTGTCCAACAGTCTACTGCTTTCATATTTACAATGACAAAAATGATCCATGTTTCTGTGTGTTTTAAGACACAATTTGACCAATCAGAGCATGTTTGATATCTCTGTCTGTTCTTTGGTAAAACAAGATCAACATTGCTTTCTAGTTTAAAAGTTAACAAGAGAATAAGTACAACTTTAAACAAGGCTCTGCCGACTACAGTGCGCTGCAGTACCTAGTGTCCCTGTGTTTAAACCCGTTCCTGTCCCTAGGGTTCCTGTGGTTCCAAACAATCCTGTGCCAGTATTAGCACCAAATGGTGTTCCTGTACCAAAGGCAGTAGGTTTGACACCAAACAGTCCTCCTGCCTGAGATGTTGCAGCATTAAATGCACTGGTTCCCAGTCCTCCTGCAGAGGCTCCAAAGTTGAATCCTGTTGCAGGTTTATTCTGTGCGCCAAATAAACTTCCAGTTGCAGCAGTACCCAAGGCTGGTAAAAGAAACATTCAAGGTTTGGTTTATGCTGTAGTCGTGAAAATTAGATGTTTACACACATTGCTGCGTGATAGCAAAAATCTACAGTTTAAAAAAGGTCTAGAAATGTATGCAGTAATGTAAATGGCAAAATTTCGTCAAAATTGTCAAATCAGCTGAGCTGATTTTACTTTGACAAATTTGACTAATATTCATCAAAATTGTCAATTCTGCCAAACTGATTTTGCTTCAACAAATTTGACTATAATTCTCCAAAATCATCAAATTCATGACAGAATTGATGAAATTGACCCATTTGCCAGACTGCTTGTATTTGTGGACAAAAGTGTAAAAAAGCTGACTTGCATAGCTGCCAGAGCTTATCCCATGACACTTAAAATACCTTATGGATGTTTTTATCATTCAGAAGTGCTATGAGCATGATCATTGTGCTTAAAATTATTTATTTATCATTGAGAATTATGATTCGTATTGTCAAGATTTACAGCTGGTCATTAAAAGTGTTGACCATATGGTTGGGTAGGATTATTGATGATTAAAAATATTCAGAAATAAGTGACAAAGTACATGTACATCTTATGAATTCCAACACCTTCATTTATATCTGATATTGTTTAATTTCTACTTCCACTGTATGCAATCCTCTGACACTTGTTTGCAGCACTGCAATGAATGCACATTAATTTTATCAACATACAATTTAACATTACTTACCTCCAAATGGTTTTCCAAAAGCTGTTGACTGTTACAAAGGAAATCAAAATGAAGTTAATAAATCTTAATCTCTAATTGTGATTGTCAGCTACACTAGAGGTGAATTGAGTTTTTAGATGTTTGGAGAACTAACTTGCTGTTGACCAAGCCCGAATCCTGTTTGTCCAAACAGTCCCCCTGTTCCAGTCTGTGTTTGACCAAATCCTGTACTTTGTGTTCCAAACAAACCGGTACCAGTAGATGTGGTTGTTCCACCAAACAGACCAGCCTGAGTCTAAATTTAATAAATCAACATGAAAATCAGCAATCAACACTACAAAACTGTAACTCCAAGGGCAAGGTTTGGGTATAATTATTTGCATGAAAAATTTCTTGCTTCCTGTAATGTTAATGCACATAACCAACCACTATTCTCCCTTATTTTAGGCAAGACAAGCAAAAGAAACTTTCAAACTGGTAGTAAGAGCAATCCTTTGGTTGAATTTTCAAGAATTCCAAGTGATTTTCAGCAGTAATAAGAAGTAATCTGGTTGGTAAATTTCACTGGTGATTACCTGAAAAAGAGAACACTACCTAATGTGGCTTGTTACATTATTTTGTACTTCAAAAATAGAAAACAAAGAAGTCTTACTGTCTGTCCACTAGAGGTCTGTCCAAAGACACTTCCACCAAAACCTGTACCAAATCCAGGTGTGGCAGTAGTTGATGTTTGAGCCCCAAACAGCCCACCTGTTTTCTGCTGACCAAAGAGCCCTGTAGTCGTTTGTTGTTGTTGGCCAAACAGACTAGGATTTGTGGTACTACTGGCGCCAAACAAGCCTGAAAAATGCAATTAAACCATGTTTCTGACATATATTAGGTGTACATTGTGTTTTTACCCCCAACTCAATCTGGTCTAAAAGGACTTCAAAATGGATTCAAATTGGATTTCAGATTGCTTGGAGCCCTAACACCTCCTACTCATCTGTATATTTAACTATCTAACTCCTCTAAATGTATACGGTGCACGCTCTGGTTACATTATTGATATAATATACAGCGAAGGCACGGTGGCCTCATGGTTGGTGCGCTCGACTCCAGATCGAGTGGTCTGGGTTCGAGCCCCAGCCAGGACATTGTGTTGTGTTCTTAGGCAAGACACTTTACTCTCACAGTGCCTCTCTTCACCCAGGTGTTTAAATGGGTACTGGCATTTTAATGCTGGGGGTAACCCTGCAATGGACTGGCATCCCATCCAGGGGGAGTAGAAATACTCCTAGTCGATTCATGCTACAGAAACCGGAGTTAAGCACCGGCCTGATGGGCCACTAGGCTCGTAAACAGACTTTACTATACAGCAAACAGGCACATTGTATTGAGATCAAACAAACTTATCCACTGTAGAAGACTTTACCAATGAGAAATTCTTAACCCTTTCACTCCCAAGATTTCATTAGTAATTCTCCTTACTGTCTACACACAATTCTCCCTATGTTAGTTCAGAGAATTTGGTATTGGATCAACTGTTAATCCCCTAATTCTTATGTTCCTTTATTCTTGTTTCTTATCTGATTGGTCTTCTATTGACATTATTGGGAGAAATTCTGTCTAGGTCACTTATGAGAGTCCAAGGGTTCACTGGTTTGTAGAAAAGACAAACCAGAGCTGGAGGGGGAAATCAAAATTCAGAGGTTGGAATGGGAACTAACAGGCTAAAGATCTCCAAGTTAACAATTGACGATAGACTAATATCACAATTGTTTACAGACCTGTCGTTCCAAACCCAGTTGTTGTTTTCTGTGCAGTACCAAATCCTGTGGAGGTTGTATTTCCAAACAGACCTCCTGAAGCTGAGCTTGTGGCCAGACCTGGAAAAGCAGTTGCACCAGTTGCTCCAGTTGCTCCTGTTTTACGTCCAGCTTCATAATCTTCAATTCTTAGCTCCTGGTAATTCAGAAGAAAGCCAGCAATAAACTCTTTATCAGTCGTGTGCAGTAATGCTCAGTATTTTTACGAGTTGTGCTGTATCTTGACCAGCCCTTAGGGCAAGTCAAAATACAAATAACAAGTAAAAATACTCAGCAGTACAACACATCAAAACACATAATAAGTTATTTATTATCCCAC